GTCTGATTCGCTACATAGTGTCACCCGGAGTAACCGGGGTTCTCCGGCGTGAGGTGACTTAGGCTGTCGCCGAAGGCGCGTGAGACCCTTAGGTTGGGCGCTGATCTCCATTTGCGTACACAGAGCCTCCCAGCACCTCAGCTCTTCGTCTCGTCTTTCTCTGTGACAATGCCGTGGGCTCAGGAACGTTTGTGCAAATCACAGTCAAGGTGTTGGTCATGTCTTTCTTTTTTGCAGGCAGAGCTGTTTTCTTTGAGGAAGCAGATAAGGAAAGCCACTGAATGTGCGTGGGCTCCGAGGTGGCATGTACTTTTACTGTTGCTTCTGTCGTCGCACCCAGTTCAGCCGTGTGCGTCCCTTGCCGAGGGGTGATTACTTGTGTTGAGCATTTTGGTCGTTTGCTAGGTTTCCCGATTCGGACTATCTGGTGTGATCCGGGAGCTTAAGTCCGTTATTTTTGCCTCCTGTGGCAATTTTTGAATTCGCTCTTTCTTCGGCTGCTGACAATAGCTTCTCGTACTTGTGTGTGATACAAGTGATGTAATTTACAATCGGGATTTCCGCACATTCTGTACAGAACCATATACGTTCTGGTTGGGTGGTTAACTATTTTGCCTGTTTTACCAAGAGTTTTGCACATGAAATGTGAAAGTATTTCAGGCAGTGTATGCAAAATATCCTCGTTTTGACGTCTTTCTTACAACTCCATAGACCGCATTTTTTCCGATGCGGCACTTGCTGACGCTATGCGGCGTCCCATTTTTGCTTTTTATCGAACGGCGAGACTGGCGAAGTATGAAAAGATCACGTGAAGCGAGAGAATTTGTCTCGGTCGCACCCTCGTCCGGATCAGTGGTCACAAGTACGCAGAACAATGACAAAGGTCACGTTGGGAATATCCATCGGCTTCGCCGTCCGCAGTGGAACAGACAAGTGCGACTGAGGATGGCAACAATGATTGCACTGAACAGCACAAATTAATGTATATATATATATATATATTTATACACGACGAATTCCCATTTAAAATAGAAGGTAGTGGAGCAGTTGTGAGATACTACTCACATTTGTGAGTGGTTTGCGTGCACCACGATTGGAGTAAAGGATTTACTTTTGCAACTACAGAAGAGACAAACGGAATTTCGGGCCGACGATCACCGATAAAGAGAAGATCACAAAAATATTAACAAACTGTTGCAAATCAGTTTTAGTTTCAGTTTTCATACGCATTAGCCATGCATCGTCATGCGCCCACTTTGGTTGCTGCCTTTTAGCCGCCCATTTGGATAAAAGAGCAGAGTGAGGATTGGAACGTTGAGAGCAGAGTCAAAGGGAAGATAGAGAATTCATACAGACTGGGGTTGCAAGAATAATGAGCGCTGCCGTTTACGACATCCAGGATAACTCGAAGCACCAGCAGAACAATGAACAAAGGGTCGCATCGTTTGATTACAAATAAAGATTCGTTCATTAGAATACTATTATTCTGTTACAAATCACGTTTGATTATTTGTTTACCCGATTTAACCCCTACGTATTTTACTTCCGCACTAAATAATTGAAGAGTTCAATACCAAACTTGTGGATCTACAGCCCAGTGGCTGACGCATGTATTATGCATGTCGCTGGATAGATTTCCTCAACGTGTGATAATTCCCTAGGTAGGCAGTCCGAAAAAGAATCGGTATGAGGGTATGAAAACCAGGACGTGCTGTTACACAGATCACATCAGCCTTCTTGGTTGAGAACCTCGAGACCAACCCGAACTGAGTAAAGACAGTGAACTATATGACTGTCATAAACAGTGGCGCACGTGCGGCCACTTACTTTTAACACAGATCTATTTTGTTTGCTTTCGATATCTTTTTTCTGAATACTCCTTTAATGTTTTCGCTTTTTCTCTCTCATTGATTGATTAAATCAATAAACGAAAGACAAGTAAAACCGTCGCACGACAGTACAAGGTTATTAGCTGTGGAAACTGAACTGGACCCGGATAACGCCGACAGTGCTGACAACTTCTCCGATACAAAGCAGGCTTTTGACTGTGTAGGCTATATTTGTATGTAAGTGTTAGCCAGTTATACACAAGTTATCAGCCACTGCGCATACGATCAGTCTGGAGATCAGCGCGGGACAAACGAGGATCTTGCCGATCTCACCTACAACCACAGAGTATACAATGTCGGTGACCGGATGATCAAGTGAGATTGTTTTGCCCTTCAGAGTCTCTCAGATTGCTTGCTGGTGCTCCCCAGAGGCTAGACCACAAACAAATCAACATATCGATAGCATTAAAAACAATCCTAAAGCGATTTCAATTAAAGAATATACTACGACACAAAATGGGGGTCAGTCTTAGCGTAAAATTTCGAGTCAGTCAGATGTCCACACTTTCTATTCGCCTATGCGGGTGTGAGAACTGATAGCTGCGCGTTGAATATATCCAAAAGCTTAAGGTACCGGATCACTGGTGCATAAGATCAATTTTTTAAAGTTAGCTGGCGGGACAAATTTAATGCAGCAAAACTGAACGTATCCCAGTATTCGTTCAACAGTGCTATCGATGGTGGGTTGGCTACCTATTGCGCCGAACGCAAGACGAGGTGATCAATCGAACACTGAATCCAATCTCCCAGTTGTCCTGGTAGTATCGCAGCGATAAACAGCTGAAAAACAAACTAGGAACCTTCAACTATGACATAAAGAACTTAGGACAGAAAGTGTCTATCGANGAACCTGCCATTAGAACGAAAATTGGTTAGCTCTGTTTCAGGACCTGGATTTGCATTTCTGTTCTTGGACAGATACGATTCGAGATTTTCCCGAAGCCGGTTTATTCTTTAGAAGGAAGAAGCCGAAGTAAAGTACTACTCCAAAAGAACTAGCTGCGGATGTCTCATCATAACAACTATAGACTTGTGGATCGATATTTCACCACCTCACTTCACAGAAACATCTGTCACAAGAGATGCAGTAAGCAGGACTTCCTTAGCAGAACAGCACGATGAAGGGGCATATCAATAAGGACATGAGGTGGTAAAACCAGTTTACCGGGGCAGCTGCTCCAGACGGGAAAAATCATTGGACGATTCCTTCGGTAACAATGATGTATCGGTGATCAAAATACATGCGAAACCTCACCTCACGTGATCAAGTTCACTTGCTCGATTAAAAGGTTGTAGGTACCATCGAAAAATGAGATGAGAGAAATCGAAACATCAGCATTAGGAGTAAAACGAGTGAAAGTGATATCATCCACTGTTTTAAAAACAGTATGACGAAATTCCTACGCCCACTCCACGGTGAATTGTGACCGTAATCCGGTCAGATCGAGAGTCGTTGAGGTTCATCACTCTGTCAACCTGCAGTTCGCAACTGGTTAGAGGTATGTCATTGAGTACAAGGACCGAACAACACTGGGGAGGTCATTTCGTAATGCATTCCCTTGAATCTTCCATTGACGTCCAGGGGATGGCTTGTAACACAGATGAACACGGTGAGGCCAGACGTAGAACGCCCAAGTCTACACTAAGCTTACGGAGTCGAACTATGAAACCGTGACTGGATTACTAACTGCAAAGATCAAGCCAACACTGTCATACAGGATGAGTGTCAATCTGAGGTATCGAGGAAGCTCATCTGTCCTTAAGTAGAAATTAGAGATGAAAACAATTGAGAATTTTAAAATCCGTGCATCTTAGAATGCACTGGAATAAGAACGTTTGTATGTGCACCTGTATGGCGCGTCGTGTGGCTGCAACCCAGAAATCCTAAAACATTACATGTCTGCGGTCACAGGAGTTATACGATGCCGAGCGAGTGTCACGGTCGAAAATAAGCAGTCAATCGGGAATTAACGAGCAGTGGCGGATTATGTTCGAGGATGGGATTTTGGACGGTGAACGAACTCTTCCAAACTAAACCCTACAAATGTCCGTAGAAATTTCTTTTCAATCTTGTACCAGTTTTGTCGGACAAGAAACGAGAACATCGCTATGATTCGGTAACTCTACAGGTAGCACTTACCTATTATAAGAGCTTGATGCATTCTCGAAGTAGGGGATCCTAATGGGATTGGGGATGACAATAAAATATATTCTCGAGCTTCTTCAGAGAATCATAAACTTAGCTGACTTATTCTCGCCAAAAATTGAAGGCAATCAGAAGGATGATAATTGCTTCACACAGTATCCGTAACAGAAATGCCAACACTACAACCAAAAAACTGGAGGAATATTGCCTTAGTTTGGCACATGAGGAGAACTAATGAACAATAAAAACTTATATAAACAGGAGGGAAGACTTGCCCATTGTTGCATAGCTAATCGATCGATGAGAAAAAGTAGCATGTCTTGAAGCTGATTGGTGGTTATGCTTTTCCATGCAGGCAACTGATACAATGTACACTCGGACACCAGTAAATCTTGACATTCAGGACAGAGCCAAGTGTCGGGAAATTGATTCATGCACAAACAAGCTGGATGATAAACACGCGGGCAACAGCTGCAGATCACCATCTGAAACAAACAACAGATAGAAAGATGGGAAATGAAAAAAGCGTCTTAAGATGGGTTCAACACCAAAAGCATCAGAAAATCATAATTTATTTACGATAGTAGAATACTGTTATAATTTGCGTTTCACTGACTGTTGAATGAACATCACACGCCTAAGAGGCTTGAACGCACTCCAGCAAAACAAAGCTATGTCTGGTGTGGTAAGCCATGCTAATAATCACGCATCAAACTTCTGGGGAAACTTCTGGAAAAATATCAGAACGTATATTATATTGAGTGCGAATAGACAATAGGCTTTTCTGTGAGAATAAGCACTTCCATACGGGGGCAGATTACGTAACACAAGTTCAAATTCTTCCGTTCAGTACCGATTCGTGTCAAGGTTGAATGCTTCAACTACATGTTTAGAACCGGTTACTGTAAAAAGAGAATAAACAAGATTTTGTTTCATCGAAACCATTAAATGAAACAGGAGAAAAGTTAGATGAGCCGATAAAATGAACTGACGGTCGAATGCCACAGATCACGACGCTCGGTCATATAGCAGTTGATACGGAGAACCTGAAAACCTATGTGACCAAGTTCACTGACCAACCTCTTTACACATTCATAACAGACGGTACTCTAACGACTCTGGATGTTTCATAACCACTGTCTGTATGAATATCGAGAAAGTCTCCGGCAACGCATCCCATGGAGCCAATGAGACAATAAATAGCTAATACTATCGTTTTAAGATAATATATATCCAAATCAGGAAAACTAAAGCTGAATACTTGAACCGATCAATGACAAAGTAAACAACCATCTGAATAAAATCTAACCGAGTGGCTCATTGCACTTGTAAAATCTTGAAATTCTCTATTTTATGAGAAGCGTCAAACAACTTTTGCTTTTTAGGGTGACGTGGAGACCCTGTTCAAGAAGAGACACAGGTAATCACAATATCCGAAAGCTAAGAGTGATTAATATAACCTCATGTCGAGGGCACAAAACGCCACGAAAAATAACGTATTTATGATGACAAATGCGTGAAAAGTAGTGCTCACTTGTCCCACTTTGTGACAAACCCAACAATAATCATCTGATTCTGGTACGCTTTCTTTTTCCCGGTCCGAAGCGGCCCCGTTGGTAATCGAATCAGGTGTCTCGGACGGTTGTTGTTGTTGTTGTTTGGACCTTTTGCTTCCTCGGGTCTCTCGTGATGGAGAACTGGATGTGCTGCTTTCGGAGTGACAATAGATACGTTTCCGTCTTCGACTTTTTCGGTGTGAAGAATTGATGATAGATTTACCAGATTGAGCGTTACGCCGTTGTCGCAAGCGTGAACTGAGACTGATATCATCGTCATCATCCTCTGAAGGATGCCAACTGGATGTCTCGTCATTTTTCGAATCAGAACCCGAGTCGACCGGTTCCTCCTCCGTTTCCTTTTCTGTATCCATTAGCCTCTCCAAGGTATCGCTTGTAGAAGAGGTGTTCTGCGAACTATCAATGTCTACACACAGGACAGTACACTCCTTGGTGCAAACGGGAGAGTCTGCTTTGACAGTTTCGTGATTCGGAGAGGCCGAACACTGATCATTTGAAACAACAGGTTCTGCAGTAACTGATTCCGGGTCTTTAGAAGTTACAATACTTGGTTCCATGGGTGCGGGGTCTATTTTTAGAAGGGATACAGTTAAACTTATCTCAAATAAGTTCAAGATCTAATTGTATACGATTTTATGACAAATTGACTGTTTGTAGAAAATAATCGTTGTGGTTCATCGCTCCAATCCCCAGGACTTCAGTTGCGGGCATACACTACTAGCATAGCATTTATAGGTCCTGATGATGTCGGCGTTTGCCACACAATGGCGAGAAGAAAACAGGGAGTGCAACACACTTCAGGACAAATCACCAATTGTATCAATATCGCTAAGGGATAGTGAACAGATGTCGCAAAATAACCTTGTCTGATAGTTCCATGCCAACGCAGACTGTATGCCTCCAGCCTGGTAGTAAATGACATAATTTTGAATGAGATAACGGCTGCTGGACTCAACTTCAAACTTTTGGCATGGGAAGAACTCCGAAAGATGGTTATTTGTGAGACGAGAGAGAAAAACGGATCCACTCGTACCAGGAAAATGCTGATGCCAGAAAGTCACGCAAAACAAAATAACTAGTAGATTCGTACCGTCCGAATGTGTGCTGAGATGAACGAATTGAGACCAGAGTTGGTGTGTGTGTGTGTGTGTATAGAATGCCAGAAGACAGTGTTCCGACGAGTTGGAGAGAGTCAACGAAAAAAGATGAGCCAGGGAACAGATCGAGACATCATGAATACACGCGCGCTATTTGCTAAGATCAAGGGAAGAACTAGGTGGGTGACCGCTTGGAGCACATTCGCAACGGCTAAATCACTCGCTTTAGGACTCAGGAGGCATGACCCACTACCGCTGAGTTCCCTCGACGAAGATAAAGAGATGTATCAATTCAACTTTGGATCAGTAAAAACCATCAACCAAGACCGATCAAAACAAACTAGAAACATTTCTGAAGCTTGGAGCTCCTCAATTAAATAAATGAACAACACAGCTAACTAGATTACGTGTACACACCGAGGCAAGTCAATGACTAAAAGAAGCAACAAAAGGTCATGTCGTACTCTGAGAACGGAAAACAAACCACAATCCAGAAGGAAGAATACCCCCTCGCACCAGTTCAACGGCGAACCAGGTAGAACACAGTAAGAACAATGGACGAAAGCAGTTGGTGGAGAGGAAAACATACAAATGAACGAGTACAATCCAAACACTGTCACTTTACAAGCACTAAAGAGGGCACCTCGGCCGGTGATGAAACGTTTGCAAATAAATTGCAGAACTCGGTAAACAGATGGAATTGAATTGAGTTCACCCGAGCTAAGAGAATCGATTTTCAAAATATATATGAAGAAATAAAATTTTTTCAGTGAACACCAAGATGTACATCTGGTCCTAGTAGATTAAAATTCTTATTACGCTGAACTGATCGATCCTGTCCGTATTCAACGAA